ATTTAATCATTTATTTATTTACTTATTTATTTTTGTATTTGGTTCATAAACCTATACAAATAATATTAAAAACACAATGCCACACAGACACAAATACAAACGAACATTACACACAACTAATATACTCTCTTCGATCTGTGTGAGCGAGCATCTGAAATGGCACACAAGTTGCTCGTAAATTGGCATAGTTTTTGATACGAACCTTGAATGGAATAGCCCAGGCATAGTGAGCGATCCAAAAGAATTGCATTATGTTGAGCGTGTCCTCCGTCATGTGATTCGTGATGGCACCAATATCGCCGAGGCCTGTGCGAGAGAAGCGATGCCAATAAATAAATAACAAATTACATTAAGTGCTAGTTAAGGTCGCAGGCAATTAATTGTGTGCCAAAAGTGGAACAGTTTTGGATAAATATATTATACATAATGTTTTTGAAGCAATTTATTCAAGAGAAAGCAAATGTTTATTTTTTCGATTATTTTTTAATTTACAAATAGTTTGACTCTCATTTAAAAATATAAAATAAAATTTAAATAAGCAGCCTTTGAATTTTGTAATAATTCTCAATAAAATATTTGGAAGGTTTGAAAAGTATGGCTAAATATTTAAAATAATAAATAAATAAAAAAAAAAAAAATAAAATAAATTTAAATTTAAACTGATTCAAATAATGGCTGATTAAAATTGTATATGTATATGTATAAAAGCATTTAAAAATACTACTTATTTGAATTATTATTTATTGTTTAGTCAATTTTAATCAGCCATAGTGCATGAACAAAAATCAAATTAATAAAATGTCTGTTAACTTTATTAACTAAATAAACATATCAAGTCGTCTTCATCAATTAATCAACTAACTTCATTTGATCAATCGCTTGTTCAACTTTATAGACCTGCTCGGCTAAGTGAATGCCCTAGCTATAATGCTGAGCTGATTAGAAATCAATCAGCTAGCATTCTATATTGATTGGGCTATTTCATTCAATCACGTCGATTGTCATGAAAACGTGTATCGCCATGGAGCTAAACTCTTTTGACTGGACCAAGCCATTCGCAAAAGCAATTTGTCTTTACTGGATGCGAAAAGCGGAGTCAGTCTCTCGGCGCAGCTGAAAACAAATAACGATTCACATGGGGCCACGCCCACTTAAGCCAATTACACGTGGACATTTGGCCAGAGGCTTTAGCCAGGTAACAAACACTTCAGCCGTAAAACTTTCAATTAACACCAAACGCACATTTGCCTCTGTCAAATAGAACTTAGGCATACATAGAGATTGTGGTTAAGGGGGGTGGGGGGAAGGGCGGATGTGTGGGATGAGTTCGAGTTCGAGTTGGCAGCAAAGCCAAACACTCACCGCCTGAATGCTCCGTTTGCTTTTGTTGTTGTTGTTGTTGTTGTGTGGCAGCCACCTCGACAGGCTTATCATTGGGAGTCAACCTAATGTTTTTGCCATTTTGCTGTACATCAGCTGCGGAAGTAGTGGCACCAGCAGCAGCAGGAGCAGGAGCAGCAGGAGCAGGAGTCGCTGGTTTGCCATCATCATCAGCGGCATTGTTGCCACAACCGCTGCTGGCATTTAGAAGCAAACTTTTGCGATAAATTAGACCCTGTAGCGATGTTTTAATCCTGATGCCCGTCATGTTGAGCACATGCGTGGAGGCCTGCGACAATGCGGCCTGCGTCAATGCGGCCAATAACACCAGCCAAGCAATGCTCCAGCCATTTGTTAGCAAATCCGACCATCTGGCATAGTAAATTCGCACATCACCAATGCCCATACCTATACCCAAACCCATGCCCAAACCCACATCATTGTAGGCCCCATCATCATTGGCAACATCATAATCTTCGTAGTAAACATCATCGGCACCATCTGCGGCCGCATTAGGCTCCCCCACGCCCGCCAATTGTATTGATCTATTTGCTGTTGCTGCCTGTGCCAGAACCTGCGCCCGAACTTCTTCCTGTGCCGCCGCATAGAGTCCCTCAATGTACTGCACTATTTGCTGTATGGCCAGCGGACCAATCAATGCAAATAAATCACCGGCCAACTTCAAAA